CATCCTCAGAACATACTCTGGGATTTCATTATGGCTCTTTAACTTGGTGATTATTTTATTGGTCATATGATTCTTGAAGGCAGGCAAGACTTAAATCTTTTACTCAGTTGCCACCTTGCAAGGTGCTGGGCCAGTGTGCCAGGGTTGGAGGTTTTGATGCCCAAATGCAGAAATTGTCTAACGAATATAAATGATCTGTCTGACCCTTCTGTGGTTGGATTCCTCCCACCCATACTACTTCACCGTGCCAACCCATTCAGAATGAAGCCGAACCATGAAAACCCATTTTTATACAAAGCATAAACATGCAGCATCCAAAACAAATTAGAGTCTGCAACACAAGGTCAGCATGTGCTGCCTGCAATAGGAAATGGAAATGCCTGAGGTTTTCTTCTTAATCGCAATCCTAACCCTCCCTCATACCCCCAATCCTTGCATTTTCTCTGACATTTGAAGGAGGAGGAAATCACTAGATAAGTCAGAAAAATGAACTACTACTGCTTGCTTCCTAGGTGAGTCTGGATGGCAGCAGAGCTGTGGCCAGCTTAGAGTAGATCAGTGCCGTACTTGCAACATTGCCTCTTTTCTCCCACAGTCAAACTCAGATGGGTGGGTGTAGGGGAGAGCTCTCTGCTGTTTGTAGTTCTTTGCCAGATGCTGTCTTCAGGAAGGCAGTGAGTAGTAAATGTGCCTACAGTTTTAGCTGGGTTGGAACTTTAATAAATACATTTGGCATTGGGATGGAAATGGTTAAGGACTTCCTGGACTTCCAGAGTTGTTTTGGCTTTGAAACCAATAATTGAAATGGGAGTTCTGGACTCAAAGTAGAGGTATATTAATGGGTCTATTTAATGGAACAGCCCCCTTTGCCCCTCCTCCCACACAAGCACCAGGGAACATAAAATGTTTACGGAAAGTCAGAGTAATGTTTTGACTCCAGGGATGCAAGCAGTTTTGGTGTCAGATCCGTTCAGAGTCGATCTGCATCCGAACAGCAGCTGTTCTACATTCAAGCCAAGCGTATGCGGTGCTCTCGGGTTCTCTCGCTGCCTTCTTGTGTATTTAGAACAGTTTCTTGGTAAGATGGAATAACCACTGACATCTCAGTTGCAATTTACGCTTTTGATGTCAGGTATTAGATCTGTGGCTCCAGAGACTGTGTGTGTATCTGTGCGGCAGGAGTGACTTCAAAAAATTGGAGGATTGGGCCAAAAAGAATCTCATGAGGTTCAACAGTGACAAGTTCAAAGTCCTGTCATGCACCACTACAGGCTGGGGGCTGTAGTGGAACAATCCCAGTGGAACAGTTCCATGCACTGGTACAGGCTGGGGGGTGACTGGCTGGGCAGCAGCTCTTTAGAAAAGGGGGTTACAGTGACAGTAAGCTGAATATGAGCCAGCAGCATGCCCTTGTTGCCAAGAAGGCTAACGGCATACTGAGCTGCATTGGTAGGTGTGTTGCCAGTAGGTCAAGGGAAGTGATTATTCCCCTCTATTCAGCACTGGTGAGGCCACATCTGCAGTGCTGTGTTCAGTTTTGAGCTCCCCACTACAGAAAGAACGTGGACATATTGGAGAGAGTCCAGCAAAGGGTGACAAAAATGGTGAGAGCGTTGGGCGGGGTACAGTTTATGAGAAAAGCCTGGGGGAACTGGGCTTATTTAGTCTAGAAAAGAGGAGACTGAGAGGGTATTTAATAGCAACCTTCAACTACCTGAAGCGGGGTTCAAAAGGAGCTGGAGCTGGACTGTTCTCAGTGGTGGCAGATGACAGAACAAGGAGCAACGGTCTCAAGTTGCAGCAAGGGAAGTTTAGGTTAGATTCAGGTCTCTAGCCCACTGAGGCCTTGGGCTCTCTGAAGCTGCCATGGAGGTGCCAAGTGTACTGTTGTGGTCACCCCTGAATTTGTAGCAGCAGTGAGATCACCCACCAAAGAGGCAGAGACCACTGGACAGACATATCGGTGCACAGTTCCAAATTAGGGCCCAGTTGTACCAGAGGAGCAGCTCTATAATCCCTTGAAATGAAATCTTGAATTCTGCATCTTCTCACAGGAATGCCTGAGCATTACTCCAGGTCCTGGTTTAAGCTAAGCCCTGCTCAAACCCATTCTGGCTTAGTTTTCTAAATGGTTCCTGAACTTGAAGGTGAAAGAAGCCCATTGCAAGTCACTCAAATTTTCCTACAGACCTTCCCCAGCCATCTATTGATTAGCTCACGAAGGAGGTTGGGGCATTTCTCAGTGAGTATAAGATTGCTTTAGAATGACAGAAGTAGTAACAAATGCATCCAACTCCCAGGACCACCGCTTAGGTTTTCTTTCTCTAATTTAAAGTCTGTTCACTGATTTCTGGTTTACTTTTTTTTTTAAGCCAGTTGTAAGCTCATGTCTGGGGTGAATATGAAATCCAGATTCCACTGCTGGGTCATAGGGAGGTCTGTTGAACACTAAGCAGAGAGCAAAGGGGCACTTATTAACCGAAGGAGAGGGCCTGCAGAACTGCTGGTACAGTCAGTCTTAAAGTGACTATTTAGGAGCCACTGACCTAGCAAAAATATTGGCTGGTTCTGCAGTATGGCAGCCCATGTCAGAACTGTTGAGAACATCCCTCTCTTCAGGAGTGTAGCCTGGCTATGCTTAGATTAGGAGGGTCAACATAAGAGGTAAACCTTGTCTTGCAGTCTCTGCTTTCCCCCTTCAGTCTGGAAAACTCAGGAATTTCTGGCATTTGAGCTGCTACCTTTCTCTTGTTCCTGTTGGAGGAAGGCTGGGGTAACAGGCGAGAATGATGTGTGGGGAATATGCACCATCAACTTGTCCTGCTGTTGTGCTCATAGATTCATAGATTGTAAGGCCAGAAGGGAACTCGGAAGATCATCGGTTCCAGTTACCTGCACCAGGCAGGAAAGATAACTGGGGGTCGGGTGACCCCAGCAAGGTGACTGTCCAGCCTCCTCTCGAAGATTTCCAGGGTAGGTGATTGCACTACCTCTGGAGGGAGCTTATTCCACAGTCTGGACACCCTGACTGTGAAGAAGTTTTTCCCAATGTTGAGCCTGAATCAATCTTCCAGGAGTTTGTGGCCGTTACTTCTGCTTTTCCCCTCAGGTGCCCTGGTGAACAGTTGCTTACCGAGCCCTTGATGTACTCCCCTAGTGTAGTGGTAAGCTGCTACCAGGTCCCCTCTCAGCCTTCTTTTCTTCAGGCTGAAGAGTCCCAGATCCCTCAGCCTTTCTTTGTATGGCTTGCCTTTTAAGACTGATCATACAAGTGGTCTTCTTTGGACTCTCTCAAGCTTGTTAAAGCGTGGTGCCCAGAACTGGATGCACTACTCCAGCTGCGGTCTCACTAGTGCTGAGTAGAGAATTAGCGAGCCATGCTAATTAAAAGAGCCCAGTTGTCACGTGTACCAGCGTCCCCATGCTGAAAAAGTGGGAGCAGGGTGCTTTGAACTAAAGCTCACTCAACGTTCAACGAGCTTTCGTTCAAAGCGCCCCGCTGCCATTTTTCTGTGCAGGACTGCTTGTGCACGGGACACGAGAGTCTGCTGGAGCGTATTAATTTCCTCATTCCAGCCTCGGAGTAGGCTCCCTGCATGTGTATAGGAGCCCTAAGTGGTGGCTTCATGGCTGATGGGACCAGCGTCGGGAGCTGAAAGGGCCCCCCCGAAGCCAGTGGAATGCAGGGGCTCCCCCCAACTCTGCAGTCCCAGCAGGACCTTTGCTTTTTCTGTGGACGCCTCGACTCCCAGACTAGGCTGAGCATTAACCTGGTCTGAACAGCGCCGAGTGAGAGACTTATGCAGTAGCCCTGGGCACAGCTGGATGGAGCTGGGGATGGCAACAAAGGGCTGAGTGGAAACGGGAGCTTGGCTTCAGGTTTGGACTCGGGAGGCAGCAGAGCAGCCACCAAGGTGGGGAGCAGTGGGGGCCCTGGGCCATAGGGAGGGAGAGAGCAGGCCCGGCATGGCTACACGGGGCACATCAGGTGGAAAGTGCTGGGTGGGAGCTGCACGATGGGGGCCATGCTGGAGACTCCGTGCAGTCTGGGCGACTGGGAGCAGCAGTTCTGCAAATACAGCCAGTTGCTGCTGGGGTCCTGTCCTGAGGTGCCTGACACAGGGTCCTGCCCTGCAGACTGTCGGGCACCAATGCTCCCTCCAGGTGCTGGGACAGGCCGGCAGGAGCAGCCACCTTGGTGCTGGAGCTGGAGCTCAAAAGCTAGCAACTGCCTCCGCCCTCTTGGCAGACATATCTAGCACTGTCAGGCATCCTGACCTGGGCTGCCCTTTGCTCCTGGGCTGGGTGGGACCGAGGGACGCTCCACAGGCCGGACAAAATCCCTTCATAAGCCATGTTTGCCCACCCCTGCTGTAACCACATTCTGCTACTGTAACCTCTCTCCACCCCATCTCCTCCACAATTGGTCTTTTCACCTCCAGGGTTTCCTGTGTGTGTTTTTACCAGGAAACACCCAAGTTCAATCTGTCTCCAAGGAAAAATGAGCTTGTACAGCCCATCAGCTGGGTGTGTATCCATGTCTATTGGGACTTGGCTTTGTTTTCCTTTTGGCACATCTGTTTTTTGTTCAGCACCTTTGTATTTATCCTTCTAATTGGTGACCATTTGAGAGCCCTTCCCTTGGAGACAGACCAGGCTGCTGCTGTCAGAACTGCTGGAAAGCAAGTGTGAAAAAAATACTTCCACTGGCGTGTTCCATTCCACCCTTAACTGGAATCATTCCTTCCGATGTTTTATCAGCTGATTACCTTTAGCATCTGCAGCTGCATGAGCCTTTCTTGCTTCAAAGAAGCAATATGAGCTCTAGGGTATGAAGTTTTCCTTTGATTTTTATGCAAATTCACTTACTTCTTTAGAGGTAACTTCTGAAATCTATTAGCATGATGCTGATTAAAAGTGAGAAACAATTTATCAGCGACAGAGGGAGGTAACTTTGATTTAATCTCTGATTATAACACAGAAAACATGTTTATTTCCAGAGATAAAAACCACAGTGATATACCCTGCCACAGAGAAACACCTTCAGAAATATCTGCGCCAAGAAGTGCATCTCATCCGCGAGACTGGGGAGGATTACAAGAACATTACGCTGCCATTTATCCAGTCCCAGAGCTTCAGCATCCAGGTATGGTTACTCGTCCTTAATACATCTCAGTCTGTTCTAGAGCAGGAGTTTCAAGCATGCAGCCTGTAGAGCAGTGTACCCTGGCCTGTGTAACTCCTGGAGGGCTTGGGTATTAACCCCTTCTGTTCCCTGAGCCAGTACAGCAGCATAGGTAACTGCCTGGGTTAATGCCACCATTGTTCCACCGTGCTACCAAAATCTCAGGTATGGATCCCCACTGAGGGCTTGTTTCATCAGCGGTGAGGTAATCAGCAATGTTAACGCCTGCGGTACCCTGAGCCAACACAGCCTCTCAAGCATCTGTGGGTGTTAATGCAGCTGTTGTTTCCCCCCGTGGCCAGAGGTGCGTCCTGGCTGGGCCCATGAGGAGCCCTGCAGTCCCAATACCACATGTGGGACCAAATGAATTTGACATCCCTGATCTACATTTCACTGTTCCATCTGGACTGAGAGGTAAAAAGCCTTTTTTGACAGTGACCTAGCACCCTAAGCTTTGTGTTGTGTGAAACTGGCTGTTGCATTTAAACAGACTTAAAGCAACTGGCTTTAACAGGGGAAGAAATTTGTTACCGACAAGAGTTTGAAGTGCAGGTTTTCTGCTCATGAGGTCTTCAAACATTGGAAAATCCTACCAGTCCAAACAAAAAAATAAGTAGGGTGTTCCTGCTCTGGTAGTTGTCTCTGATTTGAAGAGAGAGGTAGATAGCCTTGTTATTCTAAAGTCAGACAGATGGCAAGGTAGGGGTTACACTTTAGATTAGCTAAAAAGATGCAAATCTACCCTGCCTTCTGTCTAATGAAATGTATGTATATACACAGCCCCTCTCTCCCCACCCCTCTCCCAACAACCTCTCTTCTTTCTTGCCATGTTCCTAGCTGTGCTGAAAGGATCATATAGAGTTGTTTAAAACTGCAGTTGCATTGAAATTAAGTTAATGTTACAGCTGTTCCATCATGTTTGTCCAGCCAACCAGAAAATAAAAGATTGTTGACCAAGAAATCTATATGAAGTTCTGGGTTTTCAGGAGCTTTAGGTACAGAAGCAGGGCTCTGGCACTCTGCCATCTTCCTCACCTTGTACTGATTATTCCAGGGGAGCTCTCTCATATCAAATGGCCTTCATCAAAAGTTTAAATCCAAGTGTTCTCAGCTTCAGTAAACTGACTTTTCTGCCTCTGTGCACTTCCTCCCACTCTTCCTGACTCAGTTGTTTCCTGGTTCTTGTCCTGCATCTCTGATCACTCCCACTTATTGATTTTTGTGTTCTCCGTATCACTCATAGTTTTCACAGCCTGTAGGCCCTCTTCGGCCCCTTCCTCCTTTTCCTCTGTACCTTCTTCCTGGGCAGCCTTGTTCACAAGCATCAATTTAGTGATAGTCTGTGCATGATGTGCCAGGGCTATGGGGCCAGGGACCCAGCTCCCCTGTGTGCGTGAGGGTAGTGCGGGCAGCAGTACAGGGTTGTGCCCCTCGCTGCTGCCCCCTCCTGCAAGGGAAGTGTGGCCAGGGCAGCGTGGAGCTCTGAGAGGCAGGCAGCTTTCGTACACCTCCCCACTGTGCCCTGCTGCAGCGGGTTCCGCACACTGCTCTGCAGAGGTGGCGGGGAGAGCAGCACGATGGGTAGCATCACCAGCACCTGCTGCCTCCCTGGGGGCCAGGGCTGGGGCCGGGCATGCGTGCTGAGCATGGCACACAAGGCCAGTTTGCTCAGCATGCCACTGCCAGCCTGGGCTCTATGCATCTGCGGCCAACCAGGAGCCTGGGCTGCTCCTAGCAGGTGGCTGGGAGGCTTCAAGCAGCCCGGGCACCATGACTGGCAGCAGCTACCCAGAACCTGGGCAGGCTGCAGCCTGGAGGCTGCAGACAGCTGCTGTCTCCCGGCCCTGGGCTCCAGGAAGGCAGCAGGTGCTGGCACTGTGCCCTCTGGGGCCAGGGCTGGGGTGGGGAGGCAGCAGCTGCAGCTGGCCCAGGCTCTGGGGTAGCTGCTGCCAGCCATGGTGCCCTGATCTAGAACCTCACCTCATGTTATGTGTAACTTCTGATTCTTCCTGCATAAGATGAAGGAATAGCCTTTGTCATCCATGCAGACAGCTAGAAATCCTTGGCAAGACTTTCTCCTTTTGCATCTCAATTATAGAGCACCCTCCTCTCAGGTGCTGACAAAGCCAGTCTCTTGCCCAAGTCCATATCCATCCAAAATGCTGCTGCAGTATCGATTTTTCTTTAGTCATTGCTTTTGCCCTGTTATCCCTTCCTTTGCCTTTATCCACTGGCTTACCCCTTCTCCACCATATCAGATGCAAATACCTTGCCTTGGCTTCCAAAGCCCTTTCCCAGCCTGTCCCCGTCCATCTATCACTTCTTATCACTCAAGACAGACTCACGTCTTTGCCAGTAATACCAGCCTTCATTGCCTGTTCAGTGAATTTTCAAACAAGGTTTTCATGCCTTCTCCCATGCTGCCCTTCAGACATGGCAAGGGCTCTTTGGAAACATATGAAGGGCCACTTTGTTGTCCTCTTCCAAGTCCCTAGTTAAGTCTTCCTTTCCTGGGATGCCTCCCAAAAATACTTCACTGCTAGTCATGCTGATCAGTTTTGTCTTATTGGTACCCCCATTTGTCTGTATTTACCCGTTGCTTGTCTTCTACTCAGCTTGTAGGCTCTTTGGGGTAGGAATAGTCCATGTTCAAAGTTTGTATGGTTTGTAGTATGATTGGGGTCTTAATCCATGACTGGAACGGATTGAACTACCATACAGATAAGTACTCTGCAGTTTGTTGCCAGGATCTTTTAGATGAGACCATAAGCAGCACCTGCAAGCGGATACTGTGACCTTGCAAAGCTTGCATTATGAAAATCTGGGCTTGCTGTAATGACTTGTCCAAGTCTCTGCTCAGACCTCCTGTTGGACAGCTTGCCCCATACTGTGTTGATGTTTCCCTCCACACCGTGTGGGAGAGGGGCTGCTGCATGCCTGTGGTATAATTTCTGTAAAGTTTTTTCAATCCTTCAGAAAGAAAGATGTGATACAGTTATGATTCCTCTCATTCCTAAATTGCTTCAGTTTCTAATTTGCAATTCAAATATTCCATATGGAAAACTTCTCTCCTGGGCTGGGAGATAGTCACTAAAGAAAGATGAATGCTGTCCTGATTGTGTACAAACCCTCTGCTTTGGATGGTTTTGGTTTCGCCAAAATTGTATTAGACTTCTGTTGCCAGTGGGAGTAGATTTGACTCTCTTCTTATGTGCCATCTGACTGAACAACTCCACTCATTGTCATATTTCTCTGCTTTGCAGGGTAGGGAATAGTTCTCTTGTCTGTTGGGACCAAGTCTTGCACAAAAGGAGGAGCAAAATTATTCAGAAAATATAATGTTGACTCAATAATTCAGTTAATGTTTCCAGAGATCAGTATACAGCACATTAGAAATTATGATTATTAATGTGGCTAATCTGTACATCAACTGTTATAAAAAATAAAACTGGCACACAATTCAAATGGTTCCCAGCCCTCTTCCCTCTTGTTTGCTACAGTTTCATGTGCTCTGTTTCATGGTGTTGCCTCTGGATCCCTGATAAGGGTGGTGCATGTTCTGTCATGTGGCTGGAGCTGAGGCTTTCCTGAGGCAGTTAGAAATAACCTTTATTTCTTGAAGGTGCTTATGCCCCATTGCAATCTCAGAGCTCTAGTAGTGATGCATTTATTTATTACTCAGGGCAGCCAAGGGCATTTGCCTCCACTTATCTGCTACCCAAGGCAGTGCTGAAGCAGTTAAGAATAGAGTTTGCTGTTTGTTTTTCTGATTGCTCAACATGTTTTCTGCATCTAGTGATGGAGGCCACTTTGCAGGCTGCAGTCTGCTTTCAATTACTCCCCACACTTCTATTTGCTCCATTTTTTTTCTCTCTCCTGCCAGCAGTCAGGCTACAGCACCAATAACGTACAACAGCATTTATTAGCTGTGAAAAAGCAAAATAGTATTTGCTCTGGAAAATGACAGCAGCCTACACAAACATTTGTTTTCATGTCTTTGCTCTGAAGACTATAGGGCTCGTGGTCCTGGCAGCTTCCTCTGCAAGGTACTAGAATAGCCCTCTCTGTGTATTTCAGTATGCACCTCTGCATGGCCTGCTAGAATTTGTAGTCATCCACCTAGGAAAGCATATTAACAAAGGCCATCAGAGGTGTCTGTTTTGGATAAGCTAGGAGACATCCACCAGCAAAGTCTTCTGATATACCCAACCCCTCTGAGCTTTTGATGTTCTAGTCCCTCTTTCTCTGTTTCCTCTTCTTGAAATCAGTAGAACAGAAGAAAGCGGGGGGAAGGGTGAAGAAAACCTTAATGTCCATCTTGCAAAGGACACCCTGTTCTTTACCTCAGTCTCCATCCTTTCAGGCAGAAGGTTCTTTAAATTAAAAGCATGTAGATTCCCCTGTTGTAGAAGGTAGGGTAGATTTGCAACTTACAGACTAACCAAAATATATAGCTAAATAGATGCATCTATACAGATATATTTGTTAGATATACACACACCTTGCCTTCTACTTGACTTCAGACTAATACGGCTAACTACAGTTCTTTTCTAGGTCAGGTGGAACCAGCTTGGTTCCAAATATGGTAGGGCATTGACTGGGAGGAAATATTTGAGGTTTGAAAGTGATAGAAACAAGTCTTGAAATGGGACAGAGAAATGGGACAGAAGGTAAGAACTTCTACTTGAAAGACTTAATTAATGCTGGAGGCATCACCAGAGTCTCCCAGGAAATATTTGCAGCAACTCATTTAAAACCTAAGCCGGTGGTATTCCTAAAATTGAGGCCTTTACAATCTTGGGATGTTATCTTGGACATCAGTGATGGGGAACTGATCTAGCTGCCCTTGACAGCTTAGAAACCTTCTAGGTTTCTAAGTAAAAGGCTCCAAATATAACAAAATCCTTTGCTGTTCATCTGAGGCTCTGGGAGATTTATAAGCTTGAACCCAAGAAGCTTTATCAGGAGAACATAGTGTAGTGGTGTGAAAGGTACCTTAGCCCCCTAGCAAGCTGGCAGCTCTCTGTCCATTGTCCTCAGTTCTGCAATGCATGCGAGCAGTACCCAGCTTGCTCTAAAGGCAGTGTTGCTTGACACTGACAGTGGGAAGGTCCCAGTATTTGAAGGCCAGTGTCTTCTGTCATACTGGTTTATCAGCAGTGAAAAGGCTTGATCTAGTAGGTCTGTCTCACCATTGCATTAGAGTACTGTAGGCAGATGGAGGAGTGATTGAAAGAGGCATAGTGCAGCAGCAGGATAGGACTGGCTCGCCACTGATCGAACCTACAGCGTGCCTGTTAGAACTGGTGACTGGGGGTTGTTGAGATTAGTGGCAAAGCAGGTTGGAGGGTCCAGACTAGAGTGCTTTGCCTACATGGTACTGACTTCTTCTCAGTTCCTCCTTTTATAAAGTGCAGACAGTGCCTTGATTTCTGCTTAAGAGATAGCTGAGGGGTTGGCTACAAAAACAAGTCACTGCAAGGCAAATTAAGCTGTGAACATAATGCACATTCTTTTTCACAGTATATGCAAGGTACCTTACCTGTCTATGAAGGTGGGACAGTATACCTCACGTTTTCTGCTAGGGAAGAGCAGGTACATACGTCTTAGTTGCAGAGCTAGCTGTAAAGTTACTCTCTGGCTTGCCTAGAGAGAATCTCTTCATGTGCCTATGCCCTATCAGGTGGTCTGTAATCCTGTCTGAAAGGCATTTTAAGACATAGGTTATCATCTCTTCTGGTATCTGAGATGTGTCCTTTGGGAAATAAAAAAAAAAAAAAAAGGGTGCTCTGACCTAACTGTGGAGAAACTTTTTGCAAATGCACTCAGAATATTGTGACAGTGGAATTAACCCCCTGGCTTATTGAGGTGCGGTTTGCCTGCCGGAGCTCAGGCGGGTGCCATTCTGTCTCCACATGCTAAATTTCCTGGGACTGCTGAGTGGTAGTTAGCTGTTAGTCCAAAGTCAGGCAGAAGGCAGGGCAGGGTGGCACCTTAGAGACTAACTGGTTCAGAGAGGTATGAGCTTTCTTAGGCAACAGCCACGTCATCAGATGCTGACAGAGTTGTCAGATGCTGTTGCCTATGAAAGCTCATACCTCTCATGTCAGTTATTCTCTAAGGTGCCATCCTGCCATGCATTCTGCCTGTAACTTTAGGGGGCCTAAAACAGTGGTGAGCCCCTGTGTCTTTACCTATTTCTGCTCCCAAGAGTAGAGTCCCATTGTGTGCAACTGTCCAGTGCCATGATGAGCTTCCTGGGCCCAGTGTCCATCCATTTAAAGCTCTTTTTCCATGTTAAGTTTTATGAAAGGTGTCAAGTACAAGCAAAACCACTGGAGTGATTTAGCAAGGCACCCAGAGGAAGTGTTCAAGTGCCAGACTGCAGAGGTCCTTAAAGTGGAATTAATGGGAATGGATGCAGCATAAAACATTGATCACAGGTTCCCCATGTTAAGGGAGTCTGTTCTTCCCCATGAAACTAGCCCTACTTACCGCATGGCTGCTTCACATAAAGGAAGACAGAATGGGTTACAACTGTTTGATTGAGTCTGTGAATAAACTTGTTTAAAGCTAGGGCTTATGCACTTTGGCTGGCTGCAGATGTTTAAAAAAAATAAACCCAAAACGCTCTTTACTGGAAGAAGCAGCATGTTACTTCAGCCTGGCTCTGGAGCATCTGTAAGGATCAGGTGCTTCAGCAGGGCTTTTTGACACTTTTAGGTAAAACTGATTCAATCAACTATTAGATAAAAGCACCAACAAAACCCTGCTAAAGCACCTGATCTTTACAGATGTCAGATGAACTGGGTTGAAGTACGTGCTGCCTGTTCTGGGCATGTGTGTCAGCGCAGTAACATGCCGAGTTTAATGTAAAACGCTGTTTGGTGGGGGAGCGGAGGGGGTGTTATGCCTGCAAGCACCCTTGATTGTTTTTAACCTGGTTATCAGATAACTTTGGATAGCTAGACTGGCAAGAGCCAGCCATGTTGTACCATGTGATATGTTTCCTGGTGACTGGCACTCTTGTTAATAGTAATTTATGTTGAGGTGGGCTCAAGTTATATTCAGAAGTCCCACTGTTACGAAGACCTTAGTCAGATTTAATACCTTTGGGGAGCTTGCTACCCAGTCTTATTGAACAGCCATGTTTCAGCAATGTCTCTTTCATAGGACAGATGGGTCCTGCCAGGGATGAATTCTGTTACACCTGAATGTAGCAACTGCTGTACTGGATTAGACCATCTAACTTCAATATCCCATCTCCAGCTGGGGCCAATACTTAGCATATCAAAGGAAAGAAAAAATCCCCCTTAATTCAGCCAGTCAATTGTGCAGTGCTATAAATGGGGTCAGGAAGGTATTTTTCACCTGTGATAATCACGATACTCTGGAGCATAATATTTGCTTATTTTACAGATAATTAACTACAAATGTTGCTGACCATAAAATAATTTTGCTCTTTATAAATCCAAGTACAGTTCCTGTAGTTTCCACTAGTGGTAGATTGGAATTAATTTAAGAGGTTAGCGTAAAGGTGCAGTATTTTGTTCTTTTGCTGCTTTTAATAATTGGGTTTTTTTTCTTTCAGTGGGTATATAATATTCTGGAGAAAAAGGCTGAGGCTGATCGGATAATCCATGAAAACCCTGATCCTTGCAATGGCTTTGTTCTCATTCCAGATTTTAAATGGAATCAAAAACAGGTTGGTTAGCCGCTCACTTGATTCTTTTTCTTAAAAGTGACACCACTTACTTTAAAGTAACACAAAAGAAGTAATATTTTTACATTAATAATAAGTCTTGAGACACAACCAAAGGTTTGAAAAATTGGATTAACCTTTTTCCCCATGAGCACTGAGTTTGGGTACACACCATTAACACAGTGTAATGCTTCTTACAGTTTATTAAGCATGGACACAGCAGATGCACTGGTTGGTTCCAATTTTGTTAGTGACTTACTAGCCAAGTTTGTTTTCTAGCTTTCCTACCTTGGTGCTGATGCTGCCAGGTCATGTTTAAAACTAGACAAAATTACATGTCTGTCCTGGACGAATTTCTGTTATTTTAAACTTTTATAAAACCTCATTTTTGTAAACCTAAAACTTTAGGCATAAATTAAACAAACTGTCCTTTTTAATTGACCCAATTAATTTTCCTTCTCCTTCAAATGTTTAACTGTGTGTCACTTGCCTTAAAGCTGTCGTCATAATGTTATCACCTTGTAGGTAGCTTGCTTAACCCTTTACTGGAGTGGCTACCCTTTCTTCATATCAGAAAGTCCATAGATTTTCACCCAATCTGTAATACTATATTTAGTAGGGTTTTTTTACTAGCATTTCCTTCCCCCTTCTCTCCCCCCCTTATACCTAATTGTTTTATTCAGTACTATTAAGGTGGAAACCACAAGGCTTGCAACCAAGAAAATAGAGATTAAATTCTCAGACCTCAAAATAGATGCCAAGGGTGCAACCCCAGTTTCATTGACGTCAACAGAGATGGCATTTCACCAGGGGTTTCTGGTCCTCTGAACATTTATCCAGGCAAAAATGAGGAAAACTTTTCATCTTTCTGCTTGCTAAAGCATTTAGAAGAGAACTGAAAATAACCCATTTGTCTCTTGAGAGCATTTTGAGTTAAGGCTGTAAAATAACCTTATAACTTTTGGTTAAAGTGTGATTCTGCAGTTATTAGAGGTGCACCGATACATCGGTTTATATCATATTGGCACCAATAAAAGGAAAATTGACATTATTGGCAAATGGCTTTTTTTGGCTGATGTAGCCAATAATGTCGCCAATAAATGCCACATGCGTGCATGCAGCCGCAGCATGCACATGGCCAGGAGTGCAGCCCGGCAGCCTGCAGAACAGTGTCTGGCTGGTAAGTCTGTTGGGGGGAAGGGACGTGGGGGTGCAAACCAAGGGAGGGAGTGAGGCTGGGGCAGGGGCAGGTGCTGCACAACTGGCATGGGGCGGGGGACAGAGCCACGGCTCATGCAGGGTTGGGGGGGGCAGGGGTGGCTCCTACAGCTGCACACATCCTGGGGGAGGCATGGCGGGTACATGCCTTCCAGATCTGTGTGTGGACTGAGGGCGAGCTATCGCTGCACACTTGGGACTGACAGCTGCACTGAACTCTTCTCGGTGAAGGGGCTTGCCTGGGCCTGGGCTATGCTTAGGGAGGTGGCGGTGCTGGGAGCGAGGGCTACGGCAAATTTTGGGGTGGTTGTAGTCCTCCCATAGCCCCCCCCAGCACTGTTGCCACCTGCCCCAAGCGCAGCCCTGGCCCAGCCCCCCCACCAGGAAGAGGCTGGCTCAGCCTCTGGCCCCAGCCCGCAGCAGGAAGTCTGCCCTTGCCCCGTGCACAGATCCGGGGGCCACATGCCGCCCACGACTCCCCTGAGGGTGCATGCAGTGGCAGGAGCCACCCCCCATGCCCCTCTGGATGAACTGTGGCTCTGTCCCTCACTCTGCCCCAGCTGTGCAGCACCTGCTCCAGCCCCACTCTCTCCCTTATGGCGGCCTTGATCTGTGCCCCCATGCCCCTTCCCTCCTTCCCCCCAACAGATTTACCAGCTGAACATTGCTCTCCAAGCTGCCAGGCTGCATATCGGCAGTCGGATCAGTATCGGACGATATGACTGGTTAATAATCAGCCATCAATATCGGGCCAAAAAATCTTTATCAGTGCACCCCTAGCGGTTATGGGTGTCATGAAAACCTGCTCCTAGCTTTGCCACTGAATTTCTGTGAAGCCTTGGGTGAATCGCCCCTACTCTGTCTCTGTTTTCCTCATATGTAAACTGAGGATAAAGATGAACAAATATCACTGCAAAATGCTGTCATGTAAACATTTTTTGATGAAGAATGTTTTGTGGGAAGGTTGGAAAACTCAGCTACTAGCTCGAGAACTGTGGTGCGTGATTCCAGTAGCACTGGAGATGGAAGAGCTAGAACCAAGCCTATGGGAGCCTTGCCATTCCATCCTGAGTCCTAGCAGATGTTATTGCTGCTCTCTTTCCAGGGCTCTACTGCCTTTGGAAAATAATCTTTTAAATATGCATTCTTCCTTCAGCCCCCTGCTCTTTCATGATGCTAAGGAGGGAAGGAGTCATTAGAAAGCTCAGGGCTGGCTCTATGACACCCTTTCTGCATGGCAACCCGCATGTTTGGAAATTGATAATGGGCAGCTCCAGAGATGTAAAAACCAGTCAGTACTGCCTTCCTAATGAGTTGTTAAGGCTACACAAAGGCTAAAGACCCTTAGAACCTATCTCCTAGATGGCGATTGTTCAGGATTTATGGTCCTTTACATCCCAAGCTGGTTCTCCGTGGCAGGCTGCTCGTGTGAGAAGGCCTCAGAAAGGGTGTACACTTCTATCCTTGGCTCCATAGGTATCAGTGGCCATTGAGGTTGACATCTTTAGCTTGCCACTCCCGGGTTTCCTCGAGGTTCCTCTCCCACCTGCTTTTCCCCTTCCTTGGGCTCTCTTGCTCTCTCCCCAGCTGCTCAGTTTATTATGATAGCCTGTATTTTGGGGTCAGCTCTTTGCTCCTTGCTACAGCCTTTTTCCTAGCTTGCGATGGGGCTTTTCCTTCTCCCTCGCAAGCTCAGACTCACAGCTGGACAGCTTGGCCCATTTCACTATCTGCCTCCTAGTGTCATGGTGGCTAGGGTTACCATACGTCTGGGTTTTCCCAGGTATGTCCTCTTTTTTGCCCCCCTGTCCTGTCCTGGCAGGTTTTTAAAATGTGAGCAAATGTCCTGTTTTTTTGCTTTGCCTCTGCTTTCCCAGGCACTAGCAGCTTGGTTGCTCGGGACTGGGAGGAGCAGGCAAGGTGATTGGATGTCGGGGGTCATGGGCCAGCAAGCAGCAGGGCTGCAGGGGCAGGCGGCTGTGGGTTGGTACTGAGGGGCAGGGGCTTAGGAGTGAGGGGCAGAAGCAGGGCATGGGTATATCACTGCCCCCTCCACAATCATATACCCCTGCCCCAATCCCACCTCCCACAGGTGTCCTCTTTTTTGATTCTAGAAATATGGTAACCCTAATGGTGAGATTGGGCCATGCCCTCCAGTTGTCAGCCTGCTTCTGCTCCGGCGTGGCTCCCTTTAACCACTAGGAACAGGATGGCCTGGTAAAAAGACAAATAAGCCCTGGGGTCAGGGGAAAGGGGGTCTACTCAGGGCCTCTGGGGTTCTGTTTTTTCCTTCTGCTGGCTTACTAGGTGACCTTGAGCAAGTTCCTTCCTCCTCTGTCTCCTTTTTCATCTCAGTAAGATGAGGATAATTCTCATCTCCCCTGCAGTGGATATTGTGAAACTTAATCAGATTAAGTTCGCCAGCTGCCTTGAGATCCTTGGATGGAAGCTGGTTTAGAAGTGCAGAGTGCCCTATAAAACGTGCGGCACGCTCTTGGCCGTGTACAAATGGATTATTTATTTTTATTTGCAAAAATGCTGTTTTACCAGAGATGTCCCCTCAGGAACAGGAGCGGAGGAGGAGAAAAGAAAGCACTAGAGTTGCAATGCATTTATTCCAAGCCTTTGTGTGATATCTGATCTC